AAAATAAAATAAAAAAAGTAATAATCTTTGGTTTCCTGCTCTGGAATCACATATAATACCAAGTATAGTAGGAGGTAATAAAAAAAGAGGAAAGAAAAACCCAACCCTTCTAACGTGAAAAGTGAAGACAACTACTTCAGGTTGGACTCATAAAAATATCTAACACATGATTAGAAAACACAGGAAAGTGAAGTAACAATTTCATACACACATTCTCCTTCCTGCTTTAGCCAATCCCAGTTCCCTCACCCTTTCTACTCTCACAGTTCATGATTATACTTATCTCACATTCTTGCATCAAAAGAGGGAAACCAGATTCTTTACAGAAAGCGATTCCAAGAGATGAATTGCTTTCCACAGGTAAAACCTGCTTTGACTAGCATCTCGAGGGAAAAACCTCACTTTTATTATATGTCACTGTCTTATTTCCTATATTTTCCTTAATGATTATAAATTCATAGATAAGAATTCCAAATAAAATAAATTTGAATTTAGGCCACTGTACATACACAGTGTAATTTTTTCAATTACAAATTAAGGAAGCATGTGCTCAACTTGCTTTATAATGAAGAACAATTTCTAGATGGGTATGTCTAGGTGATAATATGGTAGTAGCAGACAAATGTGTGAAAAGCACTTTCCAAAGAAGCATTTCTTTTCCCAGAATTTGGTAACTTTCCTGTATTTTTAGATTAATTTCCTTTCAATGGATTCCTGTTCTAAGAAGCTAAGGCACTGACTTCTGAAAAAAATCACATTTGTATCCTTAAATTCTGATCTAGAAGATCAGATATGAACATACTATAAATCAGAAGTTTCCACTGCTGATGTTACATATTAAGATGCATAAATATTTACTGAATATAGTATAGTAAGCAGTATATTTTGGGGAGTAATCAAAATGCTGACACATTCTAAACTACCAAAGGAATTGTTCTTGAGGAAGAATATACATTTACAGTGACATTTTCAGATCTCCTAAAATTTTATGGTGAAGGACTACATGATATAATGAAAAAGAAGTGAATTTGGAATCAGGAAAACCTGGCTCAAATTCTGGCTCTATCACCAACTAACAAAGTGACTTTCTCTAACTAAGCTTCAGTTTCCTCACTTATAAAATATAAGACTTGGACACTCATACCTGAAGTCTAAATTAATCCTATTCTGCAAAAGGAATGCCCCTAATTAAAGTACACTGACAATGTCAGCCTGTGACTTCTATGTGGGGACACAGAAGGCTCTTTTAAATGGTTTAATAAAGTGCTCTTTAGGGGTTAGTGACACAAATTCATTCATTGCTTGCTCGTTCATTCTAGCACAGTAGTCACACTATCCAAATGAATTCATGTGAAGTGTTCTAGTAAGTTATATAATTATTAAATAACAGGTCTTAGATATTCTGCTGGATAGAAAATTAGCATAAATTAACATTTGGTATATGTTTTCATCAATCAAAAAGGACAAATTCCTCTAAATCTCCTCAAAATCACCTAATTTTATCTTAGGCAATGACAGTGCCTGACACATCAGGTAGGGCACCTCAATTAAGCAAACTTTAGCAATGATTTTATGAATACGCAGGCAACAAAGTAAAAATAAATAAAACTGCATTAAACTTAAAAGATTCTGCGCATCACAAGACACAATCAACAGATGCAATCAAAAAACGCAATCTATGGAATGAGAAAAAATATTTGCAGGTCATGTCTAATAAAGAGTTAACATCAGAATATATTTACTCCTACAACTCAACAACAACAAAAAACCAAACCAAATAACCTGATTTAAAAATGGGCAAAGAACTCTAGAAAACAGTATGGAGGTTCCTCAAAAAGTTAAAAATAGAGCTACTACCCTACAACCCAGCAACTGCACTATTAGGTACATACCCCAAAGATACAAATGTAGTGATCCAAAGCGGCACCTGCACCCCAATGTTTATAGCACCAGTGTCCACAATCGCCAAAATATGGAAAGATGTCCATCAACAGATGAATGGATATAGAAGATGTGGTATATATATACACATACAATGAAATACTACTCAGCCATCAAAAAAAAAAATATGAAATCTTGCCATTTGCAATGACGTGGATGGAACTAGAGGGTGCTAAGCGAAATAAGTCAATCAGAGAAAGACAATTATCACATGATTTCACTCAGGTGTGGAATTTAAGAAACAAAATAGAGAAGTAAAGATTCGGGAAGGGAGGGAAAAATAAAACAAGATGGAATTAGGAGGGAGACAAACCATAAGAGACTTGTAATCATAGGAAACAAACTGAGGCTTGCTGGAGGGGGGCCGGGGGGAGGGATGTGGTAATGGGATGATGGACATTAAGGAGGGCACATTATGTAATGAGCACTGGGTGTTATAAGAGACTGATGAATCACTGAACTCCACCTCTGAAACTAAAAATACACTATATGTTAATTGAATTTAAATAAAAAAATTTTTAATTTAAAAAAAAACGGGCAAAGAACTTGAACAGACATTTCTCCAAAGAAGATATACAAATGGCCAACAAGTATATGAAAGATGCTCAGTATCACTCATCAGAGAAATGCAAATCAAAACCACAGTAAGATACCACCGCACACCCATTAGGATGGCTACTATTAAAAAAATAGAAAATAGGAGCACCTGGCTGGCTCAGTCTGTGGAACATGCAAATCTTAATCTCGCAGTTGTGAGTTTGAGCCCCACATCAGACATAGAGATTACTTAAAAATAAAATCCTTAAGGGGCGCCTGAGTGGTTCAGTCGGTTAAGCATCTAACTTCGGCTCAGGTCATGATCTCAGGGTCCTGGGATCGAGTCCCCCATCAGGCACTGTGCTCAGCGGGGAGTCTGCTTCTCCCTCTTCCTCTGCCTTTCCCCCTCCCCCTGCTCATGCGCTCTCTTTCTCCCATAAATAAGTAAATGAAATCTTTAAAAAAAAAACTAAAATAAAATCCTTTAAAAAAACAGAAAATGGTAAGTGTTGGTGAGAATGTAGAGAAATTAGAACAACTCTTAGTGGGAATGTAAAATGCTGCAACTACCATGGAAAACAGTATGGAGGTTCCTCAAAAAATTAAAAATACAACTACCATTTGATCCAGTAATCACACTTCTGGGTATATATCCAGAAGAACTGAAAGCAGGATCTCAGAGAGATATTTGCATGCCCAAGTTCAAAGCAACACTATTCATAATACACAAGAAGCAACCCAAATATCCACTGAGGGATGAATGGATAAACAAAAAGTGTTATTTACAAACACACACACACACACACACACACACACAATGGAATAGCACTCAGCCTTAAAAAGAGAGGCGATCTTCTTCTTTTTTTTTTTTTAAAGATTTATTTATTTATTTGAGAGAGCGAGAATGAGAGAGAGAGAGAGCATGAGAGGGGGGAGGGTTAGAGGGAGAAGCAGGCTCCTTGCTGAGCAGGGAGCCCGATGCAGGACTCGATCCCAGGACTCCAGGATCATGACCTGAGCCGAAGGCAGTGGCTTAACCAACTGAGCCACCCAGGCGCCCGAGAGGCGATCTTCTTACATGCTACAACATAGATGAACAATCCTAAGGACATTATGCTGAGTGAAATAAGCCAGTTAA